AGGTCATTGCTGGGCAGGGAGGGCATTTCTGGGAAACCCAGATGAGAGTGCTGTGAGCACAGGCTGTGTGAAAACCGCTCAGCAAGGTCTCCCTCCCTCACTCCTGGTGGGAAGGCCACCCTGAGCCCCAAACCACATTGCCCCCTCCCCCCAGCCTCATCATTCTGCAGACAAGGGTCATCCACAGACCACACGTATGGTGGCTTTGGCAACCAGAAATTAAAAATAAGCTATGGTTTTTCCAGTAGCCAAAATGATCCCTCACCAAAGCTCACAGACTGAGAACTTGAGCATGCAAAACCACAGTCTGGGTGAAGGGATGTCTGCTTTTCAAATGACCTGCTAATTCTTTGCAACCCACAGTAATTTGGTTTCTGTGAACCCACAGAAGCAGGCCCACCAAAAAGGGCCTTGTCTGCTAACCTGGAAAAGTCCTTGTATGAATGAGTCACTGGCAATGGGATCAGTCATTTTTAAGGCTGCCCCATTTTCCTAACATGTTAAAGTGTTAGTTCTTAATCTTTTTAGGAGAGGAATAAGCAAAGCTGCAATTACATTCAGAATATGAAGTAGGCCCCACAGATGCATGGCATGGGCTTGGGAGAAGGTGGGTGGCATCATGGGACTGCTCTTCAGGCTTTCTAGAGGGAGGTCAATGGAGAGATGGACAGCGAGGACCATTTGAGGAAACTCTATGGCTTGGGAAATTAATGGTCGAGGGCTCATAAGGCAGTGAGGGAGCAAAGCTATTCTACTTCCCTGGCTGCAATGCCACGAAGTATCTGCAGCATGTGGTTAACTCACAATGGTTCTAAGGTTCAGCATATTCTTTACTCTTACGCATTAAAACAACATGAAGGAAACTGTGTGTTAGAGATCAGTTGCCTCCATTGGCAACTGAATGACTATTATGGTCTTGAATATTTTCCATGTCTTTAAATCTAGATACAGTACACATAGTGGAAAATTTGCAACCATCCAACATAATTTCCCCCCTCCCCTAAAAAAACACAACATTACTCAATAGACAAAATTACATAAAACCTCACAACATCCTTGGGAGGTAGACATTGTTATGACCTTACATTGTTTAATGAAAACATTAACATTCCAGTTTCAAATAACAACTTAAATCAATGTATAAGACAGTCCACTATTGTAATATTCAGAGGAAACTTAACGTCTAACTTCTTCAAAGTGCAAAGACCTTTTTATCATATTGATGGCATGGTGGTGTACAGACTATATACAGCTTGGGTACGTAGAGGTACAGTCTTGTGTTAAGAGCTCACATAAGTTTAAAGCCTACACCTCTCTTCTAGGCTTTTCCAAGTCCACAGTCCTTAGAGGCAGCAGTCCCCAACTCTGGGTTCATTGATCATTCTCCAAACCGTTCAGTCCTTTGGCCTTAGAGAACAGAGTCCTTTTGCTAGGATGGCTCAGGTTTAGCCTTTGGTTTCAGGTCAAAATTATCCTCTTTCCAGGCACTTAAATCCCAAATCATTCTGCTTTTCTGAACTCTGCTTATAGAGATTCTCTGAACTATACTTTCTGTCTGAGCACATAAACAGCTCCCAATTCCTTAAAAGATAAGAGATATCACTGTATATCTCCTCTTCTGCACAGCCTGATGCTATTTTCTAGGACAAAATTTTCATCGCTCCACTTTCTTTTCTCTTCTTGACCTCACGAGTCCCAATTCCAAGTCTTTGTGAAGGAGCTTGGACATTTCTGAGGACTCAAATCTGTGTCCCGGAGTTTCCAAATCTCCCATAGAGACCTACTCTCGGCGGGGTATACTTTAAAGTCAGGACTTTAAATATTTAACATTTAACATATCTATTACGGTCTTATTGCCTGCCCTGGGATATATATCAGAAGTACTGCTTTTTCCCTTAAAATATTCTAAACCTCCCATTTAGCAGAGGAGTGGGGGAAAGCAAAGGAGGAGAATAAGAGTAGTGACACAGAAGCTGCTTGGAAAAACTTTATGTTGATGTGAGATTTGTTAATAACACAGTGTTACAACTGAGTAAAATTTTGTTTTTAAAAAATTTCTCTTTCCAAAAGAAATCTGAGGTCATTTTATATCTGGGCCACTGTGAGTATGGGCCTAGCAAAATGTTAAGAGCTGCATTTAAAAGGTGATAAATTCTGTCACTGACAAAGTCAGAAGCTGAGTCAGGAACAGCTCAGAATGGGTAGCAAAGCATAAGATCAGCTAGCTTATCTGTGTCAAGGCAAATACGTTTTTGGGAGAATGACTTACGGAATCTAAACACTGGTGGATTTATTAATATCTTCTTTTTCCTGGTGGTGGTGGTGGAGGGTCATGGGGGAGACACTTCTGTTTAGTTCTGGGCCAGTAGGAAATACCTATACAACACTTCAAATAGTGATAAGGACCATCTGGAGACCCAATCTCTTCCTTCTCTACCCTCACCCCAATTCTGTCACCTTGGCTGTGAGCGAACTTTTCATGGGTTTGGTTGTTCCTCAGATTGTGGCCTCCTGGGTGTGTGGTGGGAAGCCTGCCTAATAAGAGGGTTGGTGGGAAAAGAAGAAGAGAAGTCCTATAAGGCTCAAGTTCATAGGGACTCTGGCTGAGAAAGTAAATGTGCTGTCTGAAGCTGCTACAGGAATTCACTTTTCAACAAGGTCAGATGTGAATCCTGATCCCGCCCTTCTCTCTAGGCATCTTGCTAACATTCTCCTTCACCCACTCAGCAAGTGGGAGGGAGGAGGGCGTTAATTAGTATAAAGAGTACCTACAGAAGTAAGTGTTTACCTGTGAGGTGGTAACCACCACATACCACCTGGTTCAACTTTAAGATTTAAGAATGTGGAGTTTCCACATAAAAATTTTCTCTGGACTTGATGTGCCTCATCCTAGACTCAGAATGCTACAATGGAAGCGCAGCCTTTGTGAGTGGTCACCCCACTCAGAAAACTGACCTCAGAGGAATGGAAATCATTCAGAAAATCCATTAGTCACAGGGAAAATGAGGGTCATATCTACAAAGAGTCCCCATTGGTGGGATGGGCCTTAGTTTCACTATCTTAAGGTGCACAAGCTGGTCTCTTCAGCATAGACTTTCCCACTAATCGGGTGGAAATGCTCGCTTTCCCTAGCTTTCTTTCCTACTAATCCTTGCTTCCAAATTCTCTTTCTTTTGTCCCCTGAAGAGTCAACAGGATGTGTGATATTTTAAGAATATAATAAGCAAATCCTCTTTCACAATGGGTATAAGCAACCTGGCATGGCTTGGAGTCTAGGATTATGGAAATACACTGAAACACTGAAGACTACACACTGAAACACATGTAGTCTTTTAGCTGAACTCTCAAACAGGTTGGGACTGTTGCCATGGAATTTCACAAAATCTTTTTTCCTGAGACAGACGCCATGCTACAAAGAAGGATAAGCCATTTGTGCGGTCTGAGGTGGAACATTTTAATTACAGGCAGGACATGAACAAGTTGAGTTTGAGCCTAATGCATAAGCCCTTTGGAAATATCAAGGCAGATACATAAAACACTAATCTACCAGGAATCTGGGATTCTTGGCTCCGGTAGAAACGTTCACAAAGCTGACTCTTAATTTGTAAATAGGCTCCATGAACTTATCCCTGGAAGCAGAATTTATTTTCCATAACACAAGATCTTAAAAAGGAAAAAAAAAAAAAAAAGCCTCTGGCAAGCAGCTGCAGGTGCCAGTTTGTGTGTACACTTTGGGGCAAGATCAAAATACCTTCCTGTTTTTTGTTCCTCCCCACCATCCTCTTCACATTCACAACTCAGAGGTTAAAGGAAAAACTTAACAACAACTACCATTTTCACACCAAAGACATGTGAAACAGATATTCATATACATACTCTTCTGCTTAATACCCATACATTAAGAGGTTTAAAAATTAACTGTGGTTACTGCATGATCACATAAATGTAAAGCTGGAAGGGACCTTACAGAATGTCTAAATCCAACTCTTCTTTTATGGTTAAGGAAACTTAGTTTTAAGAATTAAGTGATTTGCCCAAAGTCATACAGCTAATTAGTGGCAAATATGGAATCAGCAAACCGATTTTGTGACTCCTATTCCAGTGCTAATTTTATAGTTATCACAGCGTTTTTCCTTGATAGCATGTCTCCTATAACTCATGATAAAGATGACCGATACATCTGCAGAACCAAGATCAGGCTTTCAGGAATCTTCGTGGGATATAGCAGCTCCATTTAAAATGGGGGGGAAAACCCCAACCTGCCTGATCAAGGAGAACCTGCCAGCAGAGGTGCTCCCCTCCTCACCCCATTGTGAAGCTCAGCTCTGATCTAAACAGCACTCATGGCGTCTGTCCCTGGTTCCTCTCCTGTGGGGAGGGGGACACTAAGTCATACTTTTTGGACTCTTTGGTATTTCTTTGTCAAAAAAATCTTTGGCAAGTTTGCTTTGGGTCTGTACACCAATACTCCATGAAAGAGACCAAGAACTTTGGGTAGCTGTTTTTTTTTTTTTCCCCTGGTGGTGCTGCTGAACCATTTCCCGCCTCAGAGCCCAGCTCTGCCAATCTTGATCATAGGAAATGGATGCTGTCACCCACAGTGGCCAACTTCCTGGAGTTTCAATGACAGTCTATATTTTAAACCATAGGTTCTTTGGTATAGAATTTCTCCTATAGGTGACTGGTTTAACCCAAAGCAGCTTTTAATTGGAGATGGAAGGCAAAGGGCAGAAGCAGAAGTATCATCAGATGACTTGGTTTTTTTTGCTTGTGTGATAAGAAATGCAACTGATGCTCGGAGACTGGGGTCTTCAGTTTGGTAACAGATACTTATTTTACGGCTGTTCTTTTCCTTATTATTAGACTATAATTTGAGATGGGGAGATTCTACCCTAACTCTTCAGCCTTGTGTTAAGTGCAGAAGGGCAAGACTTCCCAGCAAGGTCAGCTGGTCAGCTCTTCTTCTCCGTGGTTCTGGGCATATGACCAAAAGGCTTTTCCACATATGGCTGATGAATCTCAGAAAGAATGTCTCATGCAGCACAACTGGGGGATTCTTTCGACTGGCAACAAACTCCAAGGAAGGCCTGCTCTATTGCTGCAAAAAATAATGACCAAATACTTCACTGGCTTTTAAATATCATAAAATTCAAGTCCTTGATGGGAAAACAAAAGTTTCACAAAAGTAGTAACATGATATATCTGCAAACAATTTCTGAATGAAGACAGCGTTTCTCTGTTGCCCATGTGAATATGACCCTTTGGATGCTAAAAATGGTATGGAAAGGAGTTTGGAACTGAGTTTGTTTTCAGAGTGATTTATCAGTTTTTAAGAACGATGTTCAATGCTCAGGCACAAATCATCTCTGGGACCAGATGTTCACTTCAATGTGGCTCTATGTTCTCCTCTGGCTATGTGAGACGAGAACTCATACCGATCATGGCTTCGATATCCACACATGTTACACTCAAAAGGGTCACGAAAGCCATGGCAACCCATGTGAATAGTGAACATCACATAATCCAGGAAGAGGACTCGACAGTGGTCACACCGATACACATCCATCACCTCCCCTTCTTTATTGATCACTTTGATGGAGTCTCTTGGGCAGATGGGTGGGGGCTTGAGGAGTTCATAAGAGCGGGGGACCTCCTTCAGAAGTGGCATCCCATTGCGGGCCCGAGGAGGGACCATGTGATTCGGCTGGTAAGTGTGATTCTGGCGTTCTTCATGGTTGCTATCAGTGTCCGTTGAGTCATGGCCACTATTGTTGGGGGAGAGGCCTCTTTCAGAAGGCAGGCTCTTCTCTGACAGGTGGATGCTCTTCTTTTCCAGGTCCTGGGGGGCACCATTCGGCATCTCGGCACGGGTGAGGGCTATGGGATACATGCTGCTGATAACTGGCACCATCTCTGAGGTGGGAGCAGGCGGTGTCTGGACTAAGGGGCGCAGGGCTTCGGCACCGAGATAGCTGATGGCGTTATTGATGGCTTGATCCATCATTCGGGTCTGCATTATTTCACTCTCCTTCTCATACATATAGCTGGGATTATAGCTGACATCAAAGCAGTGGCGCTTCTCACCTAGAACATGTGAAAGAAAGAGTTACAAAAGGAACAACACAAAGGCAGAGAGTTTGTAAAGTTATTTTCCAGAGTCCTTGAAAAGTGAGGAAGGACATGTTGCCTGCTCAAGAACACCAGCCCAGGCAGAGTGGTTCCATACGGTGCTGAAATCTCAGGGGACGGTGGTTGACAGCACACGTTTGTACAGTCAAAATAAATTAAGCCAGCAGGCAAAAGGGAGAGTCAGAGATGTCATTAAGTTGAGGCTACAATGTGAGTTGTTTCCACTGCCATGTCAGAGGGGAAGTTTGGAGAAAAGGAAGTAAGAGAACACTAGGATGGGATTTAGAGGGGGCAAGGGAGCTACTACTACGCAGGAGTATGGGGGCCTCTGCACTTCTACTATTCGTGACCTCTTATGACACAGTCAATTCCCAAACTCTTAGTTTGCTTGTTATTTTCCGCTTGTAATACTAGGGAGCCAGGGGGACAGAAGTGCTGCAAAAAGTGGGGATGCTCAGCGACTGGCCTCAGCAGCTTTTTAAGTAGCTACAGAGGTCGGAAAAATAGCCCCCCACACTCCAACTTACTACTCCCCAAACACATCAGTCACCAGACTGACTGAGATTTAAGTAAACAGGCTTCACATGTAGGTTTTAGAAAAGCTTTCTCGATGAAAGATCATGATCTTTGTCCCTTTCATAAAGCGTGTTATTCTTCTTTTGCTTGAAAAAAATATATCATTGATACATACGTGATCATTAGGACCTATCTCACACTTAACTGAAAAATTTATTTGTGGTCACCCTTTCCTACATCTCATGTCAAACTGCTGAGAAATTTTGAAAACAGAGTTTAGCCACCTTCAGGGCGTGTGGGTGTTGTGTGTTAGAAAACAGAGGCTCTCTGGCCACACGGAAGGCAGGAGCGGGGTCTGCACTGATGGCAGATGTGCTCAGTGGTGAGCGGCTGGTAGAGGGAAGAGAAAGCGGGGAGGATGTGTCAGGTGCTGGAAGTGAGGCTAAGGTTATTGCTGATGCTTTTTCATTCTGTGGACTGGATTCTGGAGACATTTGCTGAACCATATCCGCTCTGCCATAACATTTCCGAGGCATGTTGTGGTTCCAAAACTTGGCACTGCCATACAGGAAAGGGTTCAGTAATGGAAAAACACAGGAAAACGAAAGGATTGGAAGAACCAGTTCCCGCTTATGAGGTGTCTCCAACCTAGTGGGAGAGAAATAAGACTTATATATATGGAATTGGAGAAAAAAAAATGATAAAAGTTGTGAAAGGGGTGCCTTGCTATATGGAGGCCTTTGACTTTATTCTAAATGCCAAGTTCGAGGCATTTAAGCAGGGGAGTAACGCGTCTTCTGTAACTAGAATTATAAGGCAAGGGCAAAGTGGTTTGGTACAAATTGTATATTTAAGTGTTAAGGGAATGCAAAAAACTCAGGAGTACTTGAGGAAGGGAAAGCATTCCAGGTAAACCTAAATTTTGAGAAGGGTCTTGATGAACTGGTAGGATTTAGATTTTTGGAGAGGTAGAAGAGACATCCTAACTGAGGGAGGAGCATGAATGAAGGCAGAGTAGTGAGACTATATAGGACGTGAGCAGGGAAGACTAAGAGAGTCTGGCTATAGCTATATCAAGAAGTCTGAAATAAAGTATTTCTCAAATTTCACTTCTTCCTTCACATTCTGCAATATTCACACACCAGGGTAGTGTGGTGGTTGAGAGCTTGATTTGATGCTGGCTCATCAACTTACTAGTTGTGTGATATGGGGCAAGTTATTTAATCTGTCTATAGTTCCATGTCTTCATGTGAAACGGAGATAATCATCGTATCTACCTCATAGGGTCACTGGTAAGTGCTTAGAGCAGTGCCTGGCCCATAGAAAGCACTTGGTAAATAGTAGTGTTTTTTGTTTTGTTTGAATCAGCTCACATTTTCTTTGCTAAAAATAAATTTTTTAAGGTAACTTTATAATCACTAACATAAACAGAAAACCAGAATCACTTGCCACAAACTGAAAGTAACTATGAAAAATAAAGACAATGAAACAGAGCAGTTTATTAAATTTTGATCAGATACTACCATGAGTGCTTGGAAACAAAGATCCCCTCTCTGTTAAAAACAGAGATTATCAAGTGTGAGATTAGTTAAAGACAACTAGCATCAGATTAAGTCTAAATCTTTCTCGTTGGTATAATCAGGGAGACAGAAAGAGAACTACAAAGAAAATAATTTTCTTGCCATGTGGATCAAGGTTTGTAAATGCCCTCTGGGCCTCCTGGCACTCTGCATTTCACATTTTGGAAGATAGTGAAAAAAGATCACACACGGTGGGACCAAATGATGAGCATTCTGAATGACCAACCATAGGGTTTGGATTTGAACAAACAGCAAATTGCTACATGCCCTTGGGCAAAGGAGGCTTGTGATCAAAATGTTATTTTCAGGATATTAATGTAACAGCAATGTGTAAGATGGACCAGAACAGTGAGAAATTGGAGCCAGAAAGACCAGCTAAAAGATCTAATCTAATCAGATGGATTTGTCCTACATCCCCCCCACTACCTTATGGCCAACCTGACAGATTCTAGATAAAACCTGAGAGAAAAAATAGGCCAAGAAAAACACCCTGCCTTGGCAACTCAATAAAAAGCAACAGAAAAGTAGACCTTGGCCAAAGTAATCAATGGTTCTTATTTTCAACTTCCAGATTGGTTATATCTTTGATCAAGACCGTCTGGAAGAATGAGGCTGAGAACATGAAAGCCAGCTAAGGTCACAATACTCATTCCCCTGAAAGTGACACAGAAATGATCAACTTTGGTTTCTTGGCCTTTTCAAGGTTTTCGATGATTTTCCAGTGTGGCCAGCTCTACTCAACTCCCCAAATACCAGGCATCCCTGAGACTCTTTTTATCTTTTCACCTAATAGATAGGCTCCAGAAAGTTTCCGGGGTAGGGCAGGCACATCACAAACTCTGCTTTTATCCTTTCTCCAAAGTGTTTTCTTTACTTAACTAGGCCTGCAATTTCACAATCTATACCACCTGCAGCATATGTCAGAAAACAGCTGAGTACTAAAGTTGTAAGAGGCAAAACACTAAGAGGAAAATAAACCCCTGGATGAGTGGAAATATGTGACTGAGTTCTGTGGTTAACGCAGACCATTGTTCATTGTTAAGAGGATGGGAGAGCCTCAGATCTTCACGTGCACACAACCTGCAATCATCAGATCCCCTCATCTCCGAGTTACGGTAACTTGAGTAGTGCAGATGATTATCAGTCACCTGTAGACACGATGACTCAATGTGTATGAAACTCAGAAGGGGTAAGCTACAGTAATTGAAAAGCCAACAGCTCACGTTTCTTTAGTAACACACTCATAAAAAAGGTTAGTCAAACCACAAGAGTGTAACTGCTCCCAAACCTGCACAGAGCCTCTAGTCCAGCTTCTAGTCAAAATTGTACCACACCTTTGAATGATTAATGATAGCAGCTTCAGGCTGAATTAGAGGTTTTCTTCCAATGAAAATACAAGTGGCAACAGCAAGTCCTAAGTTTAGAAACCAAGGCTGTCTGATTGGGCCATTCCCTACCTGTGATTCTTTTTAAAGGTGCCAATCCCTAATATCCAGGCTTTGGTAACTCTAAACTGAGCCACCACCTGACCTGAATTGCTGCCACGTGGTGAGGGCATATGGTTGTTGGCTTCTAGGTGCCAACTTGGAATTACAAAATCACAGTCTAGGGCTAAAATGGCTTAACTGAGCATGTGGATTCAGACCTCTGCCTTTGGGGTCAAAGGATAAGATCCACCACCCTAATTTGTTTACTTCTGGTCTTGATACTTCACAGTACCTAGCCCTGTACCTTATACATAATACTAATAAGAAGAGCTACTATTTATTGAGCCCCTACTACAAACCCAGTGCTGTCCTGGGTACTTTGCATATTGTCTCATTTTACCTAAGAGGAATTATCATTTCTTAGTCAGATGAAGAATCTAAAGTAGAAACAGGTTGATTAACCTTCCGAAGTCACCCAGTTGGTAAATAGATAACTAGGATGCAATCCAAGGGCCCATATATCTCAGTATATGTTTGAGTGTTAACTGCTGTTTCCCGGCTGCTACTTGCCCATGGCTGCACAATCCCACCACTGCCAGTGACTGCAGATTCTCTGCTGGGATGGTTCCCATTAGCAGTGGAAAAGCAACTGTGCTTTGTTACATATGGACTAGCACATGCATTCAAGAAATGTCCGTAATGCACAGAGTTGTTGTGATGTCTATAAAGTGCTTAACAGAGTGCTTGGCATGCGTAAGCACTCAATAAGTGGTAGAGCTATTATTATTATTATTATTATATGCTTCACACCATGTTAGGTGCTTTGAGGAATACAAACATAATTGCAATCCAATAGGAGATGCAGCATTTACACAATTTCATTACAAATCAGCATCCTAAATGCTATGTGGTGGAACAAAGTATAGAGTAGCCAAGAGAGTGGAGACAGGAAAATACAGACCATTTCTCAAATGTGCCCCATGTAACATGGGCAAATATTAATCTATGCTTTTCTTAAAGTCTCCCTATAAACTGAGGTGGTGGTAGTGAAGGTGGGGGAGACAGTCATATACATCACAAAAAGTAGAGTGTTAAACTTGCCTGAGTGCAGAGGGAGGACAGAGCCAAGAAAACTCAGCAGAGTACGGGAATGTAGACCATGTACTTTTTTTTTTTGCAGGGGAAGATTCGCCCTAAGCTATCGTCTGTTGCCAATCTTCCTTTTTTTCTCTTCCTTCCTGCTGCCCCCACTCTGCCCCCCAACCCCCAAGCCCCAGAGCCCCAGTACATAGTTATGTATAGTCGTAAGTTCTTCTGGTTCTTCTATGTGAGCCGCTGCCCCAGCATGGCTACTGACAGATGAGTGGTGTGGTTCCACGCCTGGGAACCAAACCCGGGGCTGCCGAAGCGGAGCGTGCCAAACTTTAACCGC